TGATGCACTAGAAACTCTTGTTAAAGAATGGAAATGGTGAGGATATTTATAGAGCTCTAAAGCAAAATACTTTGTTGAATTGGACAACCAACCAGACATCAACCTTTGGATCTGGACGACTAAAATAGTCGTTATGCATATGAAATCTAACCGTCAAAAATCGGACAGACATCCGTATGGATGAACTAGACGTTCACCTTTCACGAATTTATAGAGAAAGATTTTGCAAAACTTTTTAAGGATCTGAATGACCAACCAGACAAGCATCCAAACGTTTGAGCATACGTCCGACCATTTCGGCAAGTTTTTTTCTTTTTAATCCCATTTGATCCGATTTGAATATTTTGACAAATGTAGATTTTTGGAATGTGTTTTTAACAAGTTTTCACTGCAAATGATGTTTTAAAAATATGATTTAAGTTCAAATATCATTTTGAAATGAATTTTACTTTTCATCAAAACATTTTATGTAAGTAATAATGAAAATAGCTTTTAGTGCATAAAATGATTTTTGAGTTTTTATCATTCATTTCTAAATATCAAAGTATTAGTAATTTTATATTTCAACTAAGAAATCTAGTCTTTGATTGTTTTGAAGTTTGGCTCTTAAGCTCTCGTCTTCGTCTTTCATTGACGTTTGGCTTTTAAGTTCTTGATCTTGACTTTTCTTTGAAGTTTTTCTTTTAAGATCTTTTGACGATGATCGATCAATTTATGATTGGATGCTTTGAATATTATAATCACTTTAAATTCAATTCTTAGTAAATGAGATTAATTTGTTTGTTATAATCAAAACTTTAAGGTTATAATCAACCATAGGTCAACAAATTCACTTCGTTAGGCATCATGATCGAAAATCTAATGGGTTATACACAAAAGGGAGAACTAGAAGAATTGAGTTACTAATTAATTAATTGACAATTGTTGGACATTTTTTACAATTAATTAAATTAATTACATATTGGATCAACTTAAATTTAAGGAAGGAGCCAAACCCAATTAGACATCTATTAATAAACTATTAGGATTGAGAATACATAACACACAATCCTTATCTTGTTAACACTAGAGAAGAGAAACTCAATTCTCCCATTCTTGTTTTCTTGTGTCGATTAATATTGGAGGTTGGGCAATCGAACAATTGTGGATTGCATATCGCGATTGTTCTTCGCATAATTAATTAAATGTATAATTCTAATCATAGATTCTTCCTAAACACAAAATAGTGCTTGGTGAAAATTGAAATTGTTTTAAATTTCGCTGTGCATGCATGATTAAGTAAATTTACAACGGTGGTAACAATAGTATCAAAGTAATTACCTTCCAAAATGACAATTGCTGCAAAGGGCACATGATGATGGCTACTTTGAGTAGAAGATTAATTCGTGAAGTCGCCGCCTAACTTAAAATGTCCATTGTTCATTTAAAAAGGGGTTGTTAATATTATAATTGTGACTCTTATTTTTAAATAATACTCTATTTGAGGACTTGTTATGGCTGTCACCCTTCTTTTATTAGTCGATTTTAAAGGTGGATTATAATATTAATTGTAGTAAAATCTCATATTTTGTTTTATAGTTTTGTTTTTTCAATCTTATTACATTTTTTAAAAGATAAGTTAAATATATATTTCGGGACAATAGACTGTTATTAATTTAACTGGTCGAAAGATTTGTAATCTTGGTCTGTGACTCATTAATTTATTTATTCTAAATAGCCACGTTTTTGTCATATTATATATATCATCTTTGCACCTGAAAATTGTGATATACTACGTCTTTTCATAATAATATTAAATGGTGAAAGAAATTGCGGGCACTCAATTAACTTATTAATATGCACATGCACTTGACCTTGAGAATTTTTATTTTACTAGTTAGAGTTGGTCGTACATTCCACGTTATTCTAAACTACTTTATAAGTGTTGTAAAATTAATATTTGATACCAATATGTTAGGAGGAAGAATAAAATTTAGAATAGAAATTTAAGAGAAGAAAATTGTACTCTCAAAACTCAACTTCTATGGTTCTATTTTTTTGTGATGATGAAATACTACAAATGAGCAACATTTTT